CCGGCGCCAGTCCAGTCTGCCTTCTCTGTCGGGTCGCAGAGCAGAGATTGCAAAAAGGGAGGGAAGGAGGGAGAAAGAGGCAGAGCTTGGAAGGGACGCTCACATTTCAGCAGCGCAGGCAAAAGGCATTTAACCCTCTCCCGCCCTTTTCTCCTCCTCCTCCTCCTCTTTTGGGAAGAAACACTGGTGCTCCTCACTCTCTCACACACAAGTGGGGGTTGTTGCTGTCATGCCCTTTCAAGTCGGCTCCAACCTAGGGCAGGATATTCTTGGCCAGATTAATTATCAGAGGAGGTTTGCCCTAGCTGCCCCTCTGAGGCTGAGAGAGTGTGACTTGTCTAAGACCACCCTGTACGTTTCCGTGGCTGAGCAGTGACTCAAACTTGGTCTCTCTCAGAGCCCCAGCTGCTGTGGATGCTGTGTGCCTTCAGAAGCATTAATAAATGTATAAATGTAGGATTTTAAAAACAAGGAAACAATTTATGAAGTTAAAACGTTAAACATTAAAAATATTTAAATGTATTGAAAGACTATATTGTTATTTTTGTGTGCCTTCAGGGCCTTTCTGATTTACAGCGGGGTTTTCTTGGCATGACTTGTTCAGAGGAGGTTTGTCCTTGCCTTCCCCTGAGGCTGAGAGTGTGTGACTTGGCCAAGGTCACCCAGTGGGTTCCTGGCCAAGCTGGGAATCGAACCCTGGTCTCCAGAGTCTAGTCCAACACTCAAACCACTAGGCCACAATGGCTTTCCAAAGTCCTAGACCAACACACAAATCCCTATAACACAGGATCACACAATACTGTTCTATGTTGTATTGTTCTTGCTTCCCCCCTCTCTTTTCACAATGCCAGACTCAGCCAAAGTTTGGAAGTAATTAGGTATAAGCAACAGAGTTAGGTATAACTAATTACTTTGGAGCAAGGAGAGTGGAGTGGAAACACCTTTCAAAAGCGACATATGAGTAAGAGCAAATCACTCTTGATTGTGACAAATAATAATTTCCAGTTGCTTTCAAAAGTTACTTTGAGGGCATTTAATTGACATTATTTTTTCATGTTTTATGACTTGAAGGTAGTTAATTTAAAGCCATTTTCTAAAAGTGAATTGGGAGAAACCATAATGAAAAGTAGAATTTGTAAGCGTATCATAGCATGATGCTCTCATTCGCTTACCAATCCCCTTTATCCACAGATTCTTTATCCACAGATTCAACCATCCACAGTTTGAAAATATTCCAAGCATACTTAAATTCCAAAATGCAAAGCTTGAGTTTTCTGTTTTATATGAGGGAAACCATTTCACTATGCCATTAATGGGACTTGATCATCCACGGATTCTGTTATTCACGGAAGGTCCTGGAACCAAACCCCAGCGGATACCGAGGGCCCTCTGTACTCAAAAAAGGAATAAACTACAGTAATGGGGAAGTAATGACCAGTGCAACAAGGAATGTGACAAGTTACTTGTTGAATCACTACAAAGCCTAAAAGTAACAGGCTACTTTTCAATCGCTGTTACGAGTAAAAGAATGAAAGGCTTTTTAAAAAGGTAAGTTTCCAAGAGTTATTTACAGCAAAGGAACCCATCCAAGGAAGGGTTGCTTCTCCTACTCCATTTTACAAGAAGAGCTGCCCTAAGACAGCTGATGCAGGCCCAGAGGGGCTCTTCTTTAACATCTCCCTCCCTTGCTTCTTGGGATATCGCTCAGCTCAGCACCTCTCAAGCTGCTCAGGTTACTTTCTGTGCTTCCTCTGAGATCACAAGCAGCGGGGCCTCTCTCTCACAAAATATTCACAACACGCTCCTTGGATTTTGGCACCATCAGAGACTTGCCCTAGCGCCCCACCTCCAATTTCACTCCTGCATATTCTGAATTCTCTCCTTCAACCAGTTTATATACAGTCAACTCTACATATTCTTTATTAATGGTTTCGACCATCCACGGCTTGAAAATATTCCAAATATACACAAAGTCCAAAAAAGCAAATCTTGATTTTGCTATTTTATATAAGGGACACTGTTTCACTATGCCATTGTATTTAATGGGACTTGATCTTCCATGGATCTTGGTATCCACGGAGGGTCCTGGAGCCAAACCAAGGGCCTATTGCATATACATCCCCCCACTTTTAAGCAGGAGAGCCTATTTCTTAGATCTCCTTAGTTGTCGTATGCCTTCATGTCATTTCCAATTTATGGCTACCCTAAGGCAACCCTATAATGGGGCTTTCTTGGCAAGATTTGTTTAGAGGAGGTTTGCAATTTGTTGTTAACTGCCCTCAAGTCGATCTCGACTCATGGCAGCCCTATGGATGAGACATCTCCAAGACCCTCCGCTTAATTCCTGCAACCCATTCATATACGTGACCTCCTTAATAGAGTCCATCCATCTGGCATGTGGCCTTCTTCTCTTTCTACTTCCCTCCACCTTCCCCAGCATTATTGTTTTTTCCAGAGTCTCCTCTTCTCATGATGTGTCCAAAGTACGACAGTCTCAGCTTGGTCATCTTGGCTTCCAGGGAGGTTTCCGGTTTGATTGCTCTAGGACCCACTTGTTTGACCTTTTGGCTGTCCATGGGATCCTCAGCACTCTTCTCCAGCACCAAATCTTTGCAATTACCTTCCCCTAAAGCTGAGAGCCTGTGATCTGCCCAAGGTCACCCAGTGGGTTTCATGGCTAAGCAAGGATTCAAACCCTGGTCCCCAGAGTCATTGTCCAAGTCAAACCACTACACCATGTTGGGCAATCAATATGGCACTCCAAATGGCATATGATGAATTACAAGATGAATTAAGTCACCAGGTTTACTTGACACATATTTAAGACTTTTTCACAAGCTTATGCTAAACCCCATGAGGTACCCAGCTACCTTCAGATGTGGTAAAGTCTGCTCTCCCATTGCCAGTGGTGAAGGAAGATTCAGCTGCAAGTGCAATTGGCTTCTCTTATGGGATGGCAGAGCTGGGCCATCTCCTAAGCTAGTCCTGTTGTTCCTCTTCTAACACAGATATGCAGGTTGTCACTAAAGCCAGGCTGCACTGGAGGATTTGAAGGCAGTACATTTGAAACCATTTTCTAAAAGTGAATGGGAGAAACCATAATCAGAACTAGAACTTGTAAGCATATCATAGCATGATGCTTGTTAAAGAGGAATCAGAAAGGCAAAGGGCCGTTCTGCTTCATGTTTTATAATGCTCTGAGAATATCAGCAAACAAGTAGATAGGAAAGATCGGGTAGACATTATAAACCTGGATTACCAAAAAGCCATTGACAATTTCTCACCAATGCTTTCCATGTAAAGCAAACAACCATGGGTAAGAGGACAGGTCCACCTATGACAGAGTGGGAATCGAGCATCAGTCCAGATGTTGTTGAACTGCAACTCCCAGCATTGCCCACCACTGGATCTTGTGGCTTGGTCTGGTGGGAATTGCAGTCCAACAACATCTTGAGGGCCCCATGATTCCTATCCCTATTTTATGGGTTGCAGACTGGCTAAAGAGAGCCAGTGTGGTGTAGAGGTTTGAGCATTGGACTATGGATGCCAGGGTTCAATTCCTGGCTTGGCCATGAAAACCCACTGGGGGACCCTTGGTCAACTCTCTCAGCGTCAGAGGATGGCAATGGCAACCCCCTCTAAAGAATCTTACCAAGAAAAGCCCATCATAGGTTGCCTTAGGGTCACCATAAGTTGGAAATGACTTGAAGGCACACAACAACAGCAACAACAACCTGGATAAAAAATAAAAAACAGAAGGAAGGCCACAAGGATAAAGATACTGTTTTCCCAACAGAGGAAAATAAAGTTTCCCAAGGGACTGCCCCAGAATGAGTATTCCAGGTCCGCATCCAACAGCAAGCAATTAATAACATTAAATGGGGTTGTGAAAACTGAAGAGGATCATGATTTGCTTCCGAAGGATCTCTCCAGACTGGATGAGTGGTCAATGAAACAGCAACCGAGACTCAAAATTAGAGAAGAAGTCAACATAATGATCTCTTGATTTACTTGTAACCTTTGTAATCAGCTAACAGGAAAGCAATACAACAGTGTCAAAATAAACAACCAGTATTGTGTGTGCGTGTGCATATGCATGTGTGTGTGTGGGTTGTTTTTTTAAAAAAAGAAGAGCCATACCAAATTCATGTTAAAACTTTGTCACACCACATTCTGCCTCTCAAAGTTCAAGACAAATTAAACAGAAATTAATTAGAATGACAACAGTTCACTTCAATAAGCAAGAGAAAAATATTTGATGTGTCTCATCATCAACCACCACTGGCCTGTGGTCCATTTCATTCCCCATCCCCACGGTATGAGGTTCCTGCTAGGCTTGGAATAAATACTATAAATATACAATAACCAAAAAAATAAAAAAAAATCATAGGCACAATGGCAATGATTGATATACATTATGTAAAGAACAAGGATGAAGATAACAGTAACAGATACAACTGATAATAACTAACTAAGGGCTAAAACAGACTGCAGAAATAATCCATCTTGAGACCACTAACTATCCTGGCTCAATGCCTCACAAAACTACAGTTCCCAGCATTCCCTAGCACTGAGGCAGGGCAGTTAAAGTGGTTTCAAACTGAATTATTTCTGCAGTCTGTTTTGGCCCTGAGTAGCTTTAATATAACAACCAACTCCAGTAAATAATCTGCTGTGATCCAGTTTATCCCTCTAGTTTAAATCTGCAGAAATAATCCAGTTTGAGGCTGCTTTAACTGCCCTGGTTCAGTGCTAGGAAATCCTGGGAATTGTAGTTTATTGTGGCACCAGAGCTCTCTGGCAGAGAAGGCTAAATGCCTCACAAAACTTCAGCTCCCTGAATTCCCTAACATTGAGCCAGGGCAATTAAAGCGGTCTCAAACTAGGTTAATTCTGCAGTGTGTTTTGGACCTAAATTAATATTTAATTCAACAGCTTTTCTCTAGGAAATAAAGGGCTATTTGTAACAAGTTATACCAGTGTCTACTTACTTTTTGAAGTACATTGGGCCCTTGATATCCACTTGGGTTTGATTTCAGGACCCCATCCTGGGGATACCAAATTCTGTGAATGCTCAAGTCTCATTATATACAATGCTAAAATGGTATCCCTTATATAAAATGGCAAAATCTATGTTTGCTTTGGGGATTTAAAAAAATTTTTTTTCCAAACTATGGATGGTTGAATCCATGGATATGGAGGACTGCCTGTAATTACCTATGGACCTTATCACACAGGGGAAATCCCATGCAGATACGGGATTTAAAAGCTGGGAAAAACACGTAAAATCGGATTGATTTTCACACACATCGCTGTTAAACTGTTGTTAACCCGACGGAAAGTAGTCAAAAGCCGCTCCTTTCTACTTTTGGGATTTTCCTGAAAGCGGCTTTTGACTACTTTCCATTCAGGTTAACATCGATGTTGTCCAAAAATCTACCCGCTTTTGCAGGTTTTTTTCCCTATTTAAAACCCCGTTTCTGCATGAGACTTCTCCCGTGTGATAAAGTCCTATGACTGTTACTTTTTTCTTCCTGTACCCAGGGCAATAATTCACTACTTTTCAGAGGTGCATAATGGGAATTCTTTCTGTTACTTATTTTCAAGGGTGTTTTGACTCAGTCTGAGCAATGGGAAAGGGAAGCGGAAGAGTCACTTGGTTGCCTGCTTCTTCCTGATGGTTTGGTAGTTAGGACTTTATCACATGGGAGGCAAGCATCCTCCTCCCATGTATAAAGTGCATTT